ATCACACCTTTGACACAAACTCACCATAAATAGACACTTTTATTGTTTTACTTCTCACCAAGGTGTCAACTTTCCGACATCACAACTAGAATACTCACTACAACAGACATCCTCTTTTTTCGCACAATGATTTTAAATTTGGGTACAAGGACATTTATTCAACACTCACGTTCAAAAACAAGTTCGTACAAAGCTAGTACTCATCGCCATAGGCTTGCCCTTATTTTCACTGCTTAAGTTCACCACACTAGACTCTAGGATCACGGTAGGACTTTCTTGGCTTGTAATGTAGGCTCAGGGTAAAGTGTGGTACATTTGGGTATATTTTTTTTAGTGACTTTATACCGTCCTTGACATCTCTGAAAATATTTTTACCTCTTTTCATAGGTTTTTTCTGCCCTACTTTTCTTTGCTCACTTTGTTTTTTTACATGACCCTTATTTATTTTTCAACTTTTTCAAACTCTTTTCTTTCTTTTCTTCACCATATTTCTTTCACTTTTCTTTTTTATTTTCATTCACATAGTTGATTCACTGAGTCACATCTTTGACTCACTTTCTTATTTCTTATTAACATTCAACTCTTTTCATACCCAATTTTGGGTCATCACTTATAATATCCGCCCTTAACTTATGGTTTTTTTTCATTGGTAGAGGTACATATTACCTGAGGTTGGGTCAAGGACAAGAAGAGGCCAGTTTCTGCATTAGCCACTTAAACTTAGGCTTTAGTCCTAAGTCGAGGTGCACATGTCCAAGGAAGGACAAGGCCAACACATTAAAGCCAGCGAAAGTGAGTTAGTGAAGAAAATAAATGTCCATTATAGAATCAACAGATTTTGATCAAAACGGAATAAAACTTTTATTTGGTTAACTTCTTTTTAGGCTAGATGGTTTTTAATTCGAACAAAGGCCTATGATCGTTTCCTAGTTGTCTAACACAAATTCGTTTTATATGATCCTTTCCTAGGAGAACCATGCAAGTTCTAGCTAGGTACCAATAGTTGAACACTCAAAATTCCTCATACTTTATTGACACTTCATTACCCTACAATATTGTTAGATTTCCAAGTTTAGGTGTTAGTTTGAAGGTCATACAGTGGGTGCCTATATATGTCATGACTAGAGACAACACATTCAACTCATTTTCACCTATTCATGCAGGCACTTTTGTAGGACGAGATATAATTCATACTTATCCATCATGCTTCATATTTCATGCTTTTATACTTTGTACAAATTACGACTTGCCGGTTCAATAGAAAAGTAACCAGTATCTTGGGGGAAAAGAACACAGGCGAGAAAACCCCGAAGAGAGGATTGCGAGTTGGGCTACTCAGACTTCACCCTAACACTCACTTTCCATTTACCCCACCCCCAACAAAAAGATCATGCAATTGTCCCCAATGCATGATAATAATTAAAAAATAGGGTGGTAGGTGAAGCAAACCTGTGGAGCATAGCGATGACGATCTATCAACAAGTGGGCGGGTCCAGTTCCCTGAAACCCACTACATTAGTAGACAGGTCAACCTCAGTGGTTCCCATATAAATCTCCATACCATCTATGGTGCTCCTCTAACCGTCTCCAGTGTAGAACTAGATGCCCCGGCAGCTAACTCTCATGCCCTCATCTAGCAGGTCTCCTCATCAATCAAAGAGGCCCTCACACTAGCATCCTCTCCCTTAGTAGTGAGGCTGCAATTATGCCTCTTGCCACGACCACGTGGATTAGGTTGTGGCTCAGGAGGTGCTGAAAATAGTGTAGCAAGCATAGTGTCCTCCGCTAGCTTGGAGGGTGCAGTCTCAGGCTCCGTCCCTCGCATCTCAAGAATAATGTTTATATATACCCTCAAACTAGCCAAAACCTCTTGAAAAGTAGTCAAGTCAATAGTACGGGATGCGTGTGCAAGGAATCGCAACTCAAAGGCATCAAAGCACTGGTGAACGGCCTAAATCTTCTGCCCAATCTGTTGGTCCACCCTCTTATCAATCCAGTTCTCAGCCAGGGTGGTATCAACGGGCTCTAAAGTCGCAGAGTCAGCCCCTTGGGCTAACTCCACTGTGTCCGCCAACTTCTCACTCAACGGTTGCAACTCAACTCTGGGCCTTCTCCTCAGTGCCGCTACATTGGCCTCATCCCTTATGAGACCTATATCAACCGTCCCAGTCGGAGTGTGGAGTGCATCGCAGTGACAAATGGGCACTTCGGCATCCCTACATAAATGGAAAATAAGACATGCGAAGGGGTAACTATTAGAGGTATTGAAATCCCTCTAATGTATCACCGTGATCAATAGCTTCGCGAAGTCGATCTCCAAACCTGTTACCAGGGCCGCTACCAATACCGCATTATACCATGTAAGAATATTATCGGCACTCGTCAGCGATAGGCGGTTGTGGACTAACAACCAGAAGAACATGGTTGTGAAACTGAGGTTGGCCTTCTTGATCATCCCTTTGGAGTTTAACACCAGTCTTCCCCCTCACCATCGATCGACAAATATGAGCAAGCCATCTCTTACCGGCTTCTCTCTCCTCTGCGTTCCTCTGAAACTTGACAATTTTTACCATCTACCACCTATATTCGAACTCTGGAGTAATAGGATCCCGTTGTGTGTCAGTGGTGGGGGTGTTTACAAAACGGCAAATGGTGAATGCAAAAAGTTCAACCTGACAGCCTCAAACTAGTACCTCGGTGAGCGGGTCCTATTTGGAAGGAATTTCCCGCCTATCAAAAGAGCCTCTTAGAGACACCACATAGGAGGTTTAGAACTCTCGGACGACCTCCTCACTGTACAAACCCAAACTCCTAGCAATCCACTCTAGCTTGTTTTTGTTAAACAGCGTATGCATATCGAGGACTGTGCACAAACTCCCCGTAAGAACCCAACGCTCGACATTTGCCAACCAGGTAATCACCCCCTTCTCATTCAGCATTTTGACATCTCTGTATACCTGATATTGACCATCTGCACACCACCGGTTAGGATCCTAAGCAACCGGTGTGCGGACATCTGCATGGGGTGCTGGGGAAGACACCAAGCTAGTATCCTCATCAGACGAGGCTTGACGGGTAGGTCCCTCAAACCAAGTGGTTCCTTGAGATAGCGAACCGGAGGCAGTGGTCTCATTCAACCCCAACGAGAGGGCTGACCATGATGATGAGGCAAATTTGGAGCCATACGGTTCTTCAGAACTCGAGGCAGACCCAGACGATGTGCCGGTCAGTGTTCAATCCTCATTAGACTGGGACGCAGTGTCTAACACTAGGAACCACCTTCTGGGATGTGCCTCGAGCGGCTCGTGCAGCTGGTGTAGCGGGCATGGTACCCAGGGGAATATACTAGGGATCTTGTTCATTATCGGAAGTAGAAATCATCCAACGAGACTGGGCTACAGACTTGGATTTTCCCCTTGAGTAGATGATATCCTTTTTCGGTGCCATTTGTACCTATAGAACAGTTATTTGTCTCAAGTCAACACTACCACACACTCGAAACAAGCAGAGCAAAGAAAGAAAAGCAAATTTTACTATATAGTGTAGGTCTGCAATATCAGGATGACAGGCACTGTCGACGGTCCGTCAATAGGATCCGTCTTACGACACTAAGAGTTATTCGGCTTAGTCTAATTTTCTGACCTCTCAGATGGAAACGACAGATGTGCAGAATGGTCCGTCGATTCCCCTTCCTTCGTCTAACACTTAGCATTATTTCTTTAGAATTGGTGAAAATAGGTTTTCTGAATGAAACGACGGACGTGCAGAACGCTCTGTCGATCAATCGACGAACCGTAGTGCACTTACGTGAACTCAAACTTTTTCAAATTAAGGGTGAGCAATCGACGAACCCCATTGAAGGCCAGTCCATCCATTGATGGTTCGTCGATAGGGTCTCATTTTGTTGGCCTGAAAAAAAAATTCTAGGCCATTCTTTCGATCTCCACTTTTGAACACTTTAAGACCCATTCAAGTTTAGACAATACAACATAATAACCAAGAGACCATTTCATGATTCCTAGTGATTCAACTTCCAACTTATGGACTTCTAAATTAACAAAAGTACAAAACCCTAAGTCGGATTTGGGAGACACGACACCTATAACTACATTTTAAGTGGATTACAAGACCATACAATCACTTTCTATTAAATTTAGCCCCTCTGTCAAGACCTACATTCAAAATCAGTTTATGAACGAGAATTCATAGTATAAAGGAAATTTACACACCTTGAGTTCGTAGTGGGACGGATGTGAGAGGGAATTTTATAGCAGCCTACACGCCCGATTTGAACACCGAATGAAAAACAACGGAGATGGAAGAGAATTTGGGAAGAGAGGGTTTTGGGGAATTTGGGGGACTCTTATGATGTTCAGAGAAATTTGATGGTTATAGAAGGTGAATGTATGGTGTTTTATGAAAAAGGAATGAAGTTAATGAAGAAAAGTGGTTTTGGGGGAATTTGAAAAGATGAAGGCTAATGATTGTAATGTCCTTTTATATTACCAGATGGGTCGAGTTGGGTTGCAGGCAATTTAGACCTACAACACCCCATCGACGGGCCGTAAGTCAGTGACGGTCCATTGAGTGGGACCGTCAATTACATTAAGACTTGGAAAAATTTACGAGACATACCTGGATCTACAGACACCATCGACGGTCCGTTGATTGGACGACGGCCCGTCGATGGGGTCCGTAGACCTGTGCCCAGACCATTTTCTGCAGATTTTTAGTTTTGGTCCTAAACATGTATCACCCATTAAGGTATTCTTTTTGTACTTTTTACGACACTTTTGAGCCATGGACTCTCTAATAATCTCTAGCCAACAATACTGCATAAGTGAGAATGAAATAAAACTAAAAATAAAAAAAAACGGAAAGAGTAGGACTATTCCTACAAAGAACATAAAAACCTATCATTGGCTAGAGGGTATACCTTGGGTTGACTCCCACGAAGCGCATGATTTAAAGTTGCGGCACTATGTAGGATCCTTGAATACTCAGACTTCATCGAGGGGATAAGCCTCAACCACTTCATGGACGCTCTTTGCATGCCCCAAGTAGATCTTAATCTTTTGCTCGTTTAATGTGAACTTTGCACCCTCCTCATTTTCCAACTCAACCACTCCGTGTGAGAACACTTTAGTGATGAGGAATGGCCCTGTCCACTTGGATTTGAGTTTGCCCGGAAACAAGCGTAGCCTAGAATTGAATAGAAGCATCAGATCACCTACCAGAAATTCTCGCTTTTCAATCCTTTGGTTGTGGTACTTCCTCATCTTCACTATGTAATTGTCTGAACTTTCATAGGCTTTGAGTCAAAACTCATCGAGCTCATTCAACCCATTTAGTCGTTGGTCTACTTTTTCAGTCCAATCCATCTTCAGTTTCTTGAATGCCCACATTGCTTTGTTCTCTAACTCGATCGGAAAGTGACAAGCCTTCCCATATACAAGTTGGTATGGATACATACCAATAGGAGTCTTATATGCAGTTCGGTAGGCCCAAACATCATTATCAAGCCTCCTTGACCAATCAGTTCTATTAGCATTCATTGTTTTCGCCAGAATTTGTTTGATCTCTCTATTGGACACCTCAACTTGCCCGCTAGTATGCGGATGGTAAGGAGTAGCCACATTATGGATAACCCCATATTTCTCCAATAGGACTTTGAAAAACTTATTACAAAGCCACTACCACCAACACTAATAATGGCCCTAGGTGTGCCAAATCTGGAGAAGATATTCTTTTTCGAGAACGCGGTGACACTCTTTCCTTCATTGTTAGGAGTGATATAGCTTCCACCCATTTAGACATGTATTCAAACGCCACAAGTATATACTTCATCCCATGAGAAGTCACAAACGGGCCCATAATATAAATGCCCCATACATCAAATAACTAAATCACCAGAATAAGTTTAACGGGAGCTCTTGCCTCTTCAAAATTCCTCCATCTCGCTGGCACCGATCACATGATTTGAAAAACTCATGACATATTGGTGAATGGTTAGACAATACTACCCACACTACAAAATTTTATGCACAGTACGGATACCACTATGGTGTCCTCCCACAGGCGAGGAGTGACATGCCTCCAAAATGCTAAACATCTCAACTTTCGATATGAAACAGTGAATCATCCCATCGGCACAACTCCGTTATAAATAAGACTCATCCCAAATAAACTTTTTCACATCGTACATGAACTTCTTCCTCTGATGGAAAGACAAGACCGAAGAATAATAGACAATTGAGACATCTGTAGCTCAAGATACTTGATTGAAATTACATGTGCATCCACCTTTTCTAAAATATTAGCTAATCACCTCTAGTATCCTTGGCATTCTCATTACTAGTATCAAATCTCCTCATCATATTTTGTAACATATCTCAACTCACTCCATACTACCTATACCATCCCTAGGAGCAATTTTCCGATTTTGTAGGGGAATATAGGGCCCACCCGTATCATTCCCATTACCATAGTTACTCCAGTTGAAGTTGTTGTTGCGATTATAGTTCCCATATCGAACATATTGACCCTCTCGAATGTAGTTACTGTAGTTCCAACCATGATATCCTTGACTTTAGCGCTAATTCTCCTAATTGGAGCCTTAGGCGTTTGGTTAAAAAAAACCCATGTGATCATTCACTGCATAGTAATCTTTTTCATAATAATACTCATCTATCAGCGGTGGTGGTTTAGTGAAGTATTTCATCGCATTTACTTTTTCATCACCCCCGCTCACATGCTTCAAAACTAACCCTAGCTCAGTTCTCATCTGTGCTAACTCTTCACGCATCTGATATGTTGTTGGGTTGTTTGTATCTTGTACTGCAAAGGTGTTTCTTCTAGTGTCTGACTTTGTAGTTCTCCAATCCTTGTTGTTGCAAGATATCTTCTCCAACTTCTATGTGATCTCTATATATGTGTACTAACCATAGGAACCCCCCGCAATAGTGTCGAGTAATGATTTATTGTTATCATCTTGATCCTGATAGAAGTACTCCTTCAATGATTCATCATCAATGCGGTGGCTTGGTATGCCTCTCACAAATGAAGTAAATCTGTCCCAAGAGCTACTCACCGACTCCCCAGGTAGTGCCGCAAAGTTATTCATTTTATCTTTGAGGTTTATCTTCTTGGACATTGGGTAATACCTTGCTAAGAACGCATCTCTGAACTGATCCCAAGTATAAATAGAGTTTTTGGGAAGCTCAGTAAACCATATGGCGGCATCTTCAGTCACTGATACAGAAAACACTTGCAACCCAATGACATTCATATCTAAGTCTGTCCTACCCACACAACTCTTATATAAAGACCTCAGTTTGGATATGTGAGCATGAAGATCCTCTGATGGCAGTCCCGAGAATAAACCCCTCGCGGAGAGCATTTGTATTAGGCTACTCATAACCACAAATGTGTGTCCATTTGAAAAAGAGGGTAGGACAAGAGGTCCATCAGACTTATCTATGTTAACGTTGCCCCTATTGTAATCCTTAGGTCTTGGCTCTGGAGGCTGCAACCTCAAAGCATTCTCCAACTCAACTTGAACTTGATTGTGTGCTTCAACCAGTAGTGGAGGTTGACGAATTGCCCCATCACCTAGATTGGTTGGGTTCTCCTTAGCTTCGTGTACTTGGCATACACTAAAGCTAGACTTGAAAGAGAAAAAAACAATAAAAAAGATAAATTTAGGAAATTCTTGACTAAATATCAATATTGTATTTAAAGTTATTCTAAAAGTCACTTTCTCCAGAAGCAGCGCCAAAATTTGATACACTTAAATTTCACTTCCTTAAATAACTATAAGCGGTCGTATCAAGTAAAGAATCCAATTAGTAGGTTCGGGTCGATCCCATGAGGAAAATGGTTTAGACTTAACTTTTATGTACAATTATGTCTATTTAGCCAAACTCTTTCCGAAAACAAGTAATTAAAGGGATTTTGTGAAAAAAATTTCTTTAATAATTCTAATTAAACAAGTAAGCAAAAGTAAACCAATACATAGAAATTTTGCCGAATACTTTGCCTCACATTGAACCATCTACAAGAGTATAAATGTTTGGACATAGCCAATACAAGAACAATCCTCCATTATAGGCTTATATCAATTGTCTCAATGATAAAAGAAATAATAATGTTCCTAAACGTAAACAACATCATAGCTAGAGTGGAACATGGCAACATCCCTGAACATGAGGACTCACCAATGACTTGGGAAAAGATCCAAGTCTTCTTTTCAAATTTGCCACGAATCTTCAATGATCGGAACCTAAAATATTTGGGAAAAAATTAAATAAAATGGTTTAGTACATCACACGTACTAAGTATGGCTTCTATGCACAAAATCATCAATTCATGAGAAAAAGGACATTTTAGTCAAAATCATGCTTTCTATCAACTTAACTCAACATGCACATATAATAAGCATAGTAAGTAAATTCAACATAATATCAACCGAACATATAGTGCACCTAAGCAATACTTGTGCAATGCCAAGGATAACCCCATATCCCTATCCAAACTAAGTATCACACTGAGCAACCCACTTCATACTTACAACATATTCTCATAATTCATCATTAAATGATTAATACATCAATACTACTCATACATTATCAAAATAATCATAATCATAATAATAATAGTAGAACCATCCCTTATGATCCCACAAGTTCAATGTGAAAGAAAAGTATCATACCCTCTCTTACACCATGTTTAAACCTTCAAGACAAGCCCTAGTATGAGTTCATACACTTAACTTGATAATACTTTTACATCAGAGAAAGAAGTGCAACAACTGACATTAGATCATGTGAGCTACATGGAATCTGGTGTTCTACTCCAACACCAAAAAGAGAGGGTTAACACTTGCCTAAGGAGTAACCATTCGTATGTAGCTATCTAGGTGGATCCACTAAGCTAGAGTCCTATGTGGGCACATAGTTAAGGGTCAAGGAGATTATTGCTGGAAACCTTAACTTACTAACGTGGAGGTTTCCATCTCATAACACAACACATAACTTGGGAATCCGTACTTACTAACGTTTATAAACACATGTGGGAGGCTGGACATACTAAACGTGAGACCTCCATCTCATTTACATGCCCTTTTGGTGCTAAGCATTTATTCCCTTTATTAGTTATCATACTCATTATACAAGATAAAATTAGTCTCTTCTAGACCTCTATGTGAATTTTTTATCATAATAGCTCATAGGTATTCGAAAGTGAGAACTATCCTTTCACATAGAAACCAAATACAAGTGAATAAACCTTTCACTCAACACTTTATTATAATCATGAGAAACTACTTTCAATATATAATAAATCATACCATAACATAGTTGCATACTTCATAACTAATTCAATAGTCTAGGGATAAGGATGAATAATACTTGTTATCAACATTACAATCTAAGTAACTCATACTTAATAATTGGATTCAAGAAAAATCAACCTTTTTAACTCATCGCCTTTTCATTTCCGCCATACTTCAATTACCAAAGAGCACGTAGCCAATGCATGACTAAGGTAAATTCAAGAAAGCAATTGCATAATTAACATCAATATAGTTAATCAACATATTCATCCTCTTCACAATTCACCCTATCAAATCAAGGTTTTCATGAAATTGGGGGAAAGACATCGGTCTAGGTAAAACTCATAGGAAATCATTAATTGGCCATCAATAAATACTTAAACAACATTAACTTATCATAATTCAACACAATTGATTCTCAATTTCACTTTTCAAAGAAGACTCATGTGTGGAAGAAAATCCTTGTTTTGGGAGATTTAGAAATTATCCTTTGGAGGGATCTTTTGCAGGAAAACAATCCCAAAAGTGAAACAAACCATAAATTAAATATGAATACCCACGAAATTTAAGTAGAAAATTGGAGGATTTGGTCTTCTTTTTCAACCTTCAAGGCTTCTTCAATAGGGATGAATACAGAGAGAAAGTAGTGAGAGGTGAGAGATTTTTAGTTTGATTTGGGGATTTGGTTTTTGTGGGAAATTGTGGTGAAAAATTAATTTAAAATCAATATATAACCCTCCCCTAAAATACCCAAAAAGACCCCTCACTTAAATTTACCCTTTAATGAAGTCCAACTCGAATTCAAATTTGAGATTTTTTGGCGGGAAACAAGTCCGGGTCGCGGAGCTGTTCCCGCATAATTTCCAAGAATAATTTTTGAAATAGTAGATTCTGCCATGTGGCCACGTCTCAGATTAAAATTTTTGCCTTGGGTGTGCCAAGTCAGCGAACTCGAAAATATCTCACTCATATGAAATTATCTCACTCATACGAACTCGAAATCGCACAAACTCAGCGTAATTGGAAAGATATTTCCAAGATATTTGATATGGTATCTGGAAACACACCTAACTAATCCTGAGTTAGGATTTATAGTTGTTTGAAGTTGACCAGAAATCCAAACTTACCATAACTTATTCAATTTCTAGATTTTCCATTCTTTCCAAAAATGGCTATTTCCAGTTCTAACTCTTTCTAGTTCTTTCAATTAGTGATATGTTACAG